CTAACCAGTTTAGACATCTGTGGAGTCTGGTTACTTTTGCTGTCTGCAAAGGACTTGCTCTCAGTTTACACCAGCTTAAACCTTGTCCCCCTCTGTACTCAATATTACCCATCTTGGTTTTAACTACATAATGGCTTCAAGCAAAAGCACAAAGTCATGCTAATCCAGGCAGGAATTCCTCCATGCTTCCTCCCACCCAGTGAAGTTTTGGATATCACAAACAGATAATGACAGATGGTGGCACATAAACCCCTGTGCTAAACTAGTTAAAGCCCAGAAGCTGAGGCTCTCCCTATATATCTCGGAAGGTAGGATTGCATTTCCGCCTTTTGAAAGTTTGAGGAGGATGAGTGGGGTTTGTTGGGTTGTTTTGTTGTTGCTTTGTTTTAATAATCTTTAGCCAAGCTGTTTTATTTTATATTAACAAGCATTTGCCTCACCTATCCAATTTAATATAGATACAGTTTTCTTCACCCTTACACCAAGCTATCTCAGGAAGCTTGCTCCACGCTAATATAATTAGGATAGATACATCATTACCTTTTCTTCCAGGCTGAACAGTGGGAGCTGGTTCCACAAGGGCAAGATAGACCCAACTAGCCAAACAATGATATTTCATCTATAAGACAAGCAGAAGGTCCCTGCTGTCACCAGGCTCTGCAGCTGCAGAGGCTCCTACCTTACATAAGGCCATCTTCACTGGTGTTGTTTGCCCCAGTGTAAGGCAGCAAATAGTTCTTGTACCTGCACCATATTGCCTGCAAGAACACAACCAGCTCCAGGGCTCACACTACCAAGCCGAGTTCCAAGGAATGAGGACAAAGCAGAGCACAGTCAGGGAATATGTAGAACATGCAGAGGTGTGATTGTGTCTAAAGGGAAACTACATTCCTATGTGTTCAAGAAAAAGCTTTTACTCTTTAGAACAGACAGTATGCAGGGACTGACTTACTTTGAGAGTCAGCTTCTCTTTGAATGAGTATGTCACATGAAGTGTGAACAGGAAGCCAGAAATGTGGGCAGAAAGCAACTGTGGCCAGCGACTATGGCCACTCCTGTGGTCTGTACAAGTCTGGTGCATTGATAAGTATATAAAAGTCACAACAGCTTTTGGAGGAGAGAACTGGAGAAGATGACCCGAAGGCAGGTAAGGTGATCTTGTTACTGGTACCCTCTACAGGCACATGGAAGACTACCAGAGACTAAAACTTGAATCATTTGCATCCCTGTGAGTGTTGTAAACACCTAACTATTGGCTGGTTTTGGGGAGGGAACACTCATTCCCACATCTTCACACAGCAAAACCTGCAAAAGATTTGTTTCCATTCCTGTGTAAAGAAAGGAACATAATTTTAAATCTCAGAATTTCAAGGAATAGAACAATTGTTTACGACACATGTTTGTAAAGAAAATAGTCCAATTGCGTCAAAGTACGTGATTTACCCTTACAGTACAAAGGTAAAGCGCTTTCAAACCAGACTGTTGAGCTAAGAGCCAACGAGGGCTACAGTTTAACTTCGCATTCAGAAAAATCTTGACCGTAACTATAAGGAGGCTCACTTTCCCCATCTACTGGTCAATGGAAAGATTGGACTACACTACAATTAAAAGCATTACCACCGAAGCCCTGATTCAGTCGAATTCTCGAGTTTTCATTTCTAACTTTAAACAGATGTGTAAGTGCCATTGATGGTAGCATTTCAGTAAGCACATAAGTGCTTTGCCGAACTGGGGCCTGAGGCTGATAGTTTAGCATGGCAGGAATAGGGTTATGAGTTCTTTACAACCAAAGAGAAAAACACATTATTTTCAAAGACAATACTAGGACAGCCTGTTCAGCAACACTGTCTTGTTAACCATGAAAAATTAAATAAATATGCCTTCTTTTGTTCTGAAGTGCACTAAGGTCATTAATACTATAAAATAGCAGCCTGCAGAACCCTTGCCACAAAGCAGCCGTATGTACTGCAGCTCAGTAAGGTCATCATAAGGTTACCATGGCTTCTTAGGGATTTTTTTTTTAATAAGTATTTGTTTACTAAATAGAAAGTCAGATTCCCTATAGGCCTGTTAACCTTATATTTTCCATCATTGCATGCAGTGCATCCATCCTTCCAAAGCGGGTCTGTTCCTTAAGGGAGCAGACTGAGTCTAGAGTGAAGATGTGAAGTTTGGGTTGACTTGAAGAGACATTTGACCCTACCCCAGGTAGGATGACTTGTTGCATTTCTCACTTTGAGCACATGCCTCACTGTCATCCATGTTCTTTGAGGGCAGCACCTGCACTCGTACTGTAACATCCATCTGCTCCACAACCTCCCATTCTGGCTGCAGGTCTGATCAGATGTGCCTAGAGACAAGCTGCAGCCAACAGAAAGGCCACAAAAAGCCTGGCAGCAAGCTGCCCACCAAGTAATCCAATATATCTGCAAGCTGATTCACCATGCGATCTGACACCCAGGCATGGTCTCTCCATGTGACCCCAACAAACCTATGACAGTTTGTGTAGGCACATACTCAGTATGCAAGTAGCTGCATTTTCCACAGGACACACAAGTTTCCTGCTCAAAGGACTGCTGGGTCTTGAAAAGTAAGCAGAGCCTGGACAGGTCTACCAAGGCCCACACATGAAAGTTCAGAGGAATTGCTGTCACACCACAGCAGATTGATGAATTGTCACTCTCAACAAGGAGAGCCCAACATTGTCTTCAGGAAGCACAGGTGGCAAAGCACAAGTGTGACCATCTATCTTAAGGAGCTACAACTCTAGTTACCCAGCAAACTCTGTGAGAATAATCCAGCCACTGCAAGGAAAAGACTGCAGAGGAGAAACAAGAGCATCACCACTGAGGTTATTTCATCTCAGGTGATAAATCTGAGAAGCAACTGTAACTACATTTAAATAGCAGGCAAGGAAAGAAATCATTGTCAGTAGGTCTAGTCCTCCTGGTATACCAAGTGATGTGTATAAAGCATATAAAGCACATCACTACTCTGAAGATCATCACAGAAGGTTTGCTTAGCCTCCTCCCAGAAGTGTATTTTGGGCCGAGTTATTTGTCTTAAGAGTATATTTAAATGTTCATGAAATCACTAGAATCAAAGACTATAATGGACAAACAATGGACAGTAGTGTCTTGGAGCAAATGCTTGTACAGCCTCGTAACTGCAGGGTAAACTGGGATCCAGCATTTCTAGCTGACATCCCTAGAGAGGTCACAAAACCAGCCAAGAGATTTCTCAGATGAAGCATGTGATAGCTAGTACCTCAGGTACCCAGCAACTGGGATAGAAGAAACACTGTCAGTGTCCTGAAGTGTCTGCAAGGAAAGACCCAAAGGACCACCTCCCCAGGTACTCCCAGCATCACAAGCCTGCTGGGAGATTCCCTCCAGGCACACCAGCACCTGGCATACTCAACTAGGCAGCAGGGAAGCAAACAGCTGACAGCCAATGTGTCACCCAGGACAGCACAGAGATGTCAGAGCTGGGCTGTGCCCAGAACAGCTTGCAGTGTAAACTGGATTCCTCAAGGGCAGGTGTGCTGGGAGTCCTGTAGCTAAGCACAGGCTTCCTCAGTAATTCATCAGCTGCATGGGACCAGTACAACAATTTAGGAGTATTTCAGTTCTCCAGCCTATAAAACACTGAGTGATGGAGGGGGGACAGCATTTACACTGAGAATACAGGTGCCAGCTGTGCTGGGCTTGTGAATTTGTGTACAACAGCCCACACATGAAGAGACACCTGGAGAAACACCCCTCAGAACAGCTCAGGGTTCCTCCCTCCTGTGGGGATGCATGGTGCTTAGCCACCCAAGCAGCCACCCACAGAGCAAATGCTTCTAACCCGTTGTGCTGGGGGGACCCACTGAGACCAGCTGGTTGGGTGGAAGCTGCTGGAAACAGAGCCATAACAGGTAGTTGTGAAAGAGGCGACCCTGCTGAAGACAGACACTGAAAGGATGCCAGCACTGTTTTACTAACCACTGAGTAGGATCACTCTCAAAAGTGGCTTCCACAGGCAGGAGTCAGACTTCATTAATCCTGTAGTCCCTCACGGCAGACACCTTCGACAGGCCAAGTTCTGGCTTGTTAGGCTGGGAAAATTCACTCTTCCCTATACAAGGCCAAATTTAGGCATCTGACTTACATCACAGGCCCAAAACTTATTTTGTCAATCCAAGCTGTTAAATAATCCAGAAACTGGCAAAAGCAAATGTTTGGCGAGAGCTCTGAATATAAACCAGACTTTAAATAAAAGCTATGACCATGACAGCAGATAAACCATTAGTCTTTGTTTTACTGTTCCCATAAACGTACATGAGACAATCCTTCATATCCTCAGTCTCTGCTCCATTATCAGTGTTCAAAAACAATCTCCAATTGTTGGCACTCGACAGATTGAGGACCATTTTTTAATTTGTAAAACAAGGTGAATCAAACATCCCTGTTCCCAGTTGTGAATAATTCTATAATTAACTATGTTAGTTATTTACAATACATTTGAGGAGGAATATCTAGCACTATTCCTCTCCAAAAGAATTTATTTTCTTGGTTACATAACAGAACTGAATGCAATTTTTCTTCCCCTTAACCTTTTTCCTGGGAACAGTCTGCATTCTTCAGCTGCGCTCACTCAGGCTACTGGTTGAGATCTTCAGTTTTAAATAATAATGCATAAGAAGAATACAAAGACAGGGCTCCCCAGAGACCAAACCATGTATTCTATATCAAAAGGCAATTTGCTTTCACTGGAAAATAACCAGCACAGAAAATACTAAACCAGAAGTTTCATTCTACATTCAGACACTTAAGAGTGGGTGATTATCGAGTTATTAGTCACTGTTTTGGGGAGTCTTCTGGGATACAGGAGTAACTTATCTTTAGTCACAGATATTCTAAAATTCAAAACAACAGAAATAGGCAAAGCAACTAGTATATCACTTCTTGCTACCACCACATGCAGTAAGAATATTGTTAAACATGCCACTCACTCACCAGGAAACAAACATCAGAAGGAGCTGGAAATCCCTGCTTTGCCACCACTCAGTTTTGACGCTGTCACTTTCTACCTCCTTGCAGAGTCCGGCAGTGCCTTTTCAAGCACCACCTGCGTCAGGGCACACTGTAATGTCCCAAGGGATCAGCCAGCTCACTCTGACAAAAGAACTAGGGTCAGGTGCTGGAATCAGCCCAAGGGCCAAGTCCCAGCTGGCAAATCTAAAATGACTTCCAGCCTGAGGGAAATGGGAGAGGAGTGTTTGGAAAGAGCTTGCGTAGAGCACTTCCAAACAGTAGTAGCCCTCCTTTAGAGGAACAGGAATACTGCCTAGGCTGAAGATCAGTAGATGGTTTGGACTGTTTGAGGTGTTTTGGGGGGATGGTTCTTTTCTTGTCCTGGACTGGGGTAAGAAGCCCCCATTCTTTGGCTGGTGAGTAAAAGGAGTTTGCACAAACATGACTGTGGCTTTTGCTTTGCTTGCTGGGTGAAGAGAGGTGTGATTATAACTCGTGCCCCACTGCATGCCTACCTTCCAGCTGCCAAAAGCCTCTTGCCAGTGAGGCTTCAAAAGGGAGCATGGCTGGCCAGTTTGCCCAAAAATAGCTCCTCACCTCTCCTGGCATCTTTTCAAAAGCTTGCTCTATCCATACTCTCACCAGGCGGTAACTGCTGGTTACCACTCCCTCATCTATGGTGGGAAAAGCAAATACAGCTCTTTAGCTTTTCTTTGCACTATGAACACATAATGAGAGTGTTCCTTGGACAGGTCCCTACTCAGGTAAAGACTCAAACTTCACCATGACCCTCTACTTCCCTAAAACTACTGTAGGCTGAATGGAGCCTCCTGGACAGATAGATAGATTCAGTCAGTGGCATGTAGATCTCTCCATTTGTCCCCTCAAGATTGCACAGAAGCTTATCTGGCATTCATTGATTATGCCACCTTACACACAGCAAAGGAACAAATGTGAACTCTTTAATCACTGCAAAGATGTTTTTTTCTCCAGGGCAGAGATGTTAAGTCTGGAGACAATCAACACCATAGTCCCTGGTGCAGTACGACAAGCTTTGCACCAAAATGCACAGTCATTTTGCAGTGCTCCCGGAGGTGATGATGTCCTGTGCTGACTTATCCTAGCTTGAGGGACTAGCTACAAGACAGCACATAATCCTAAAACAAAAATCCTTAGAAACTTGATCAGATTCTGGAATTAGCCCCACTTTCAGAAGCAAAATGGACCAGATGACCTACAACAGTAATTTCCAGTCTAGAGCCTGTGATTTTGTGATACCACTGCTTTTGAGATAGCGCATTTGTGAAGGAACAATGGAAAGACTGCTTCTGCCTCACATTTGGGATTGGGGATTCAATTAGAGTTAACATTTTCCTGGCAAAGATTCTTTGCGACCCTTGTGATCAACAAAATACAAACACAGTGGAAACACACTGACGAGATCTCTAACATTCAGAGCAGACTTGAGGCATTAAGCTTTCACTTTCTTTAGGGCAAGGGTATTCCTGCCCAAGGAATGTCTTGGGTCCTCTCCTACATATAGTTCCTCTTTGAAAACTCCCTGTCACTTCCTACAATAGCATATATATGGAGCAACATTGTACTAAATATAGTAATTCCCGAGATGCCCAGCCTCTGAAAATTTAAGCGGATGTGGCCCTTCCTTCATTACTTTATCACTGTGATGATGATCACTGTGACTTCTTTAGATCCTCACAGCTCATTACAGGCTCCTTCACCTAATGGTGCTGCTGGCATTGTTGCTGTGATCCAGAGGCAGAGAGAGGTAGCAGGGAGCAGGCAGCAAAGGCCACCAAATCACATAAACCATATTAAAAGCACATAGAAAATGCAGGGAGAAGTAATACCCCACAAGTTTTTCATGTGGGACACAGGATTTTGGACAAAACTATGGGAAATTCTTTGTTATATGTGACATCCAGCATGCCTGTGTTACCCACTCACAGGATGACTATAAGAAGGACAAGGGAATGGAGCTTATTTCAGAAGAAGCTACAAGCAGACAGTGAAGATTCTGTTACTAGGATTACCTGCTTTCCACGCTTCAGAGGACTCTTAGAGGTGCTGGTCAGCCAGTAATGGCACAAGAGTTCTTGTATGAACCTTCCTTGTATCTGTAGATGGGAGGAAATAAGGCTAGAGCTGCCCTGCCACAATCACTGGCACCCCAAAAGTCACAGGTAATAGACCAGGGAGCAAATGCTTCTGGTTAACATCCACAGTGGCTTCCTCTTCATCCAGGGTAGAAAAATAAATACATTCCTCAAATGTGTCTGACCCATCCAGTTCTGGGAGTGAATGGGTGGCTGAAGAGGACTCCTCCTACAGGAATTTCTGCTGAGGCAATGGGAGTACCTTCCTCCTCTACTCTGATTGGCATTGCTGAGATTCACTGTACAAAATTACAGGAAGAAGTTGACAGCAAAGGAGGTACCTTTCCCTGTCACCTGAAAGACGCTTTTCAGCATAAGGTCCCTTCCAACTCGTTATTCTCATTTCTGATCTCTCAAGGTAGGCTAGAGTGAAGGGAAGTTAGATAATTTCTCCTTAGATGAAATAATATTTCTCCTTAGATGAAATTATCTACTTAAGATGAATTTTTCTGCTTATGATAACCTCATCTTGGCTAGGAACTTTCTTTAGAAATGTTCACCTGTGATCTGCTGTGGAGGAAACAGGGAAGAGGGAAAGAAGTATCCCAAATTGCTCTGTGAGCAGCAGAGCCTCTGAAGGCTGTGTTCCAATGGATTTATGTTCTATGTCCCTCATGCTCCTGCCCATTGAAGTGGCCAGTATGCCCTGTCTCCTCTTCATAACTATCACCTGACCTCCAAGGTATTCCTCCAGGGCTACAGGGGCAATACTCTCTTCCCTGGAGTATCTTCAGATCTTCCTCATCTCTTTTAACTGCAACTCAGCTTCGCCTGCTCAGTACTTGCAGCAATCTTAGAAGACTTTTAGCTATTTCTCAGGCATCTGAAGGTCAGAAGAGGGGACCCATTGTTACAGAAGACAAGGGAAGTAGCAAGTCAAAACACTGAAAACTGCTGAATGCCGAAAAATTGCTAAGGCACCTGGAACAGCAGCAGAAGCTGACCAATTTTCTGTGGTTTTGTGCAACTGTAATAACATTCATAGTGGGTTGTGTTTCAATTTGCATGTAGAAGCTTATACTCCAACTTGGAGATCTTCTGAAAAACATCAGTATTGTGAAAAGCAGGTGAGTTTTCTGTTTGACTCCCCAAAAAATAAAATTCCCATATTCACAGCCTATATTTCAGCAGTGTAAAATCCTGGGCAATTTCAGAAGTTGTTTTCTTTCAAAAAGATTCTTCAAAACATTTTAAATTCTTGGAACCAAAATAAGATTCTCACACAAATCCAGGCCTATTTTTCCTAAACATGAAGAAAACTCCTCAGACAAGAACCAAATGTTTTCTAGAGCATAAACATCCCCCCCCCCCCCCCCCCCCCCAAGTATTTACCTTCATCATGCCTTGCAAGTAAGGGGAGTACTCTGATTGCCATTTTACATATGGAACTGAAGCTCAAAGGGTACATTACTTGCCTGCTATCAGATAGAAGCATGGTAGAACAGGGAAGTGACTACCGTCCTGTTCCCAAGACAGTGTCTTAAACGCTGCACCATTTTTCTTGCAAGGCCCACAGAGTCTGTGATATTCACAAATACACCTCGGATCAGAGGCTAATACATAAAAATGAGAGCTTTAATATGCTTTGACCTGTACTTTGGTTTTGCTCTCTCCCATTATACACTGTCCTCATAGAAACAGTGTCTACCTGCAGCACTTTCCCAGAAGCTAGGAAATAATTTCCTTCCACTATCAAACATACTATTTGGGCAGCCTGGCACCAAAGAAAAAGCCAATACAGTGTTTCATTTACTGCTGTGTCTGCATGTTAACCTAAAGGTCAGATAGGACAGTACACAGTACTGAGAAAATGAGTAGTTAATGATTGCTAGACTGCAAGAGGGGAAAATACACAACTTACATTGGTTTAGAAGACCGCAAATCACTAGCACTGCTTCTTCTTCTTCACTGTATTTTGTGGAAGGCTATATGTACAATAACAATTATGACGTTTGTTGGAGTCTTTTCAATGTGCTTTGAGTAGGACAGAAAAAAATGTCCTCTCATCAGTGTGAACAATCTCAGTGAAACATACACAATATTTAGCAAGAAAATCCCATTTTTCTTGCTATGTATAATCTGGCAGCTTGCAGTATCTTTTGCCATATTTACTCCTTCTGAAGTGTTTGTGCTTGAGGGTTTCATTGCATCATCAACAGTCTGTAATGCTCTGAAACTAAGCTGTGTTTAGACCAAAATGCCAGACTTGTTCTTCATGGCACAAGTTTTAGTAATTTCATAACTTATCAGCATACAACAGCAGGCCTAAACTTAGTACAATGATGCCCTGTTGGGGCATCAAAGCACTGGTTAAAACTTTCCTCCAGTCCTCCAAAGGCTGAAGTTGTATTTGCTGTTCTTACTGCAACTAGCATAAATAAGAAAAAAATGCATTTGTATTACAGAATAGTTACAAAAAGCTGTTTTAAAAAATCCTAAAAAGGCATTTTTATCAAATGCTTTGTCTCAACCTTTCCATCAGAACAGATGGACCCTATGGGCTCCTCTGCAGAAGGCAGACTAAGAATTATATAGAATTATGCATCATTGTAAACACATCTAACAACTTTGTGTGATAGCACTGAAAAGTGATAGCTGTTGCAGGCTACAGAAGTAGCAAAACCTCTTACTTCCAGAGGAAGATAAGGAGAGTCCTGGGGGGCACAACTTCACCTGTTACTGGGTAGCTAGGAGAAGGAGAGGCTTACCTCCAGTGTCCAAGAGCAAAACAAAGCATTGTCACGAAGCCCAGAAAGCCAGCTGCAGGATTATAACTTCCCATCTGAGTCTTGTGCAAGTCTCCAGGCAGCTGGCAAATGCCAGAGCAATCACAGAAAATTTCAGTGTAAATAGTTCTGGAGAATTATTGCAGTATGTTCCTTGTTGACTTGACAGTTTTATCCAGACAGAATGTCAAAGATGTGAAAAACACATTCACTGCTCTAACAGTTTAAAGACATGGGCAATCAGCCCACTTTACTAGGTGGAACACAGCAAGTAAGAAGTGATGATCAGTAAAACCAATTCTTTCCAGAGTTCAGGTTCACTTCAGGATGCAAAACACACTGTTGCAAATACTGCACAGGAAATCACAAAACTTAAAAAGCTTTTTTGCCGTGGAATGAATTACAGATCAGGACCAACAAACATGCACAGTTCTATAAATGCTACACTACTGAGTTCATGTACTCAAATGTTTTGCAATGTTTAAGTAATAAGAAGGCAGAAGGCTCAGCACCTGCCAGCAACAACCAGTTCTGAAACCATCCAACATTTTTCTAAGCAAGATCCAGACTTGTCAAATTGCTCAACTTCACAAAGCAAACGACAGACAGATTATCTTATCTCCTAACTCAGTAGTTTAATAGCCTCTGTCACATCACTTATCCTGAAGAGTGGTTTCTTTCACACTACTACCATGACGTATGTTTTTTAAGCATGCGTCACCAAGTGACAGAAGCAGCATTATTTAACAATTCCCAGTTTCTCCAGAAACTTCTTGTTTTGCAGCTAGTCAGTTATAGATGGAGAGCCCGAGTTTAAGCAATACTGTATTTCCACTGCAAACACACTTTAGACAACTTTGCTGAAACTGATGCATCTCTATGTTTTGTCTGAGAAAACAGAACCCAAGGCTCCCACATTTCCATAGTTTCATTGAAGAAAGAATTAAATTATTAAAAAAACAGTCTGTTCCTCAATTTAATTGCTTCTTCTTTTCCCAGGAAACACTGAATTAGCTTTGTGACGGTGTTAGCAGTTGTGACTGTGCTATATAGTGAAACATCTGTCATTATCCCTACAGTGAATGTGTATACTTCCTCCAGCTTCAGCCATCATGTGAAATCACCTGAGAACTCAAAGAAATCAAGTTTGATCTCATTTTTCCAGCAAGCAAACAAAAAACTTGTAATGCTCATAGTGGTAACAGGAGACTGGGGGAAAAAAAAAAAATCAACTCAAAGCAGAAACGCGTGTTTGAGTGGGAGGGGAACAGTAATGACGGGTAGAAAAAGAATCGCAAGTAGCAGAGAACACTGTGAACATCCAGTCTTTCATCTGTCACCTTAATAAATGCGTGATGTCCAAAAAAAAGCTACTGACTTCATAAGTAACATTCACGAGGCATACGTTCTTCCTAACATATATGATCTTGCAGTGCTCCTTAAAATGTTGTATAACATAATGAAGTGCTAAAAAAAAATCAAAAGGTAGTATACTCAAATTAACGCACATGCTACATCTGTACTTGAGAACAATACCGGTTAGGTTATAGACTGTAACTACAGATTATAGACTTGTTTATTTTCACTGAAATCTGAAAACACATAGTTTATTCAGAACCAATTATTAAGAGAGACATAGAATTTAGGTAAGGATTTTTGGTAGGGGAAATGCTTTGCTTGCCTGTTCTAACTATCATTATGCT